GATTAAAATTTTTTTTCCAATTTATAAAAAATATTTTAGTGTGGAATGTTTAGTGTAGTACTCCTTAGTTCAGCCATCCCTGAATACAATAAATGGGCAATACTGAAAAATAAAGCTAAGTTGTGTTCTCAGAACAATATTGGTTCTTGAGATGTGAATACATGTTTTCAAAGAAAACAATTGCTTAGTTCTCAGTAAATCAAAAATGTACTGGTTTAAACAAAGGTAAACTGATTTCCTACTGGTGGACTTCAAGCCTTTTTTATTTTTAATTTCCTTTCGACAAAAGGAGCTAGCTAGTACAAAGGGGAATTATAGAATGCCTAGCATTACCATAATTAGTTGTGCTTTGATTTAGGGCCTACCAACTAGTCATAATAATGGTTTGTCAATTATTACATAAACTCTGATAGATGGTCAGGACATTTGATAACTTCTACAGTACTATCTGGTTGTATTAAGGCTGAGAAATTCAAGAACCCTTTGTAAATATGGTTTTTGTACCAGCCTGGATTAGAAAATGATATTTAGGATGTTTTTGAGGATTTCTTAGTAGTTCTTAAATATCCATTTTTAAAATAGTTTCCTATACCTGACCCAAAGGTATGAATATGACTATAATGTACTCATCCACTGAATGTAGGAAAGGGAGTGGAAATGGTGCAGTATGTCCTAGGAACAAAACAAAAACTGTTCCTTAAAAATCGAACATATTATTCAGTGATAAGCAATCTTTTAGTGATTAAAAAAAAAAATCTCAGTGTATTAAGACAGAAAAGTAAATTATTTTTTGGAAAATTTTAAATCAACAACGGTTGAAATAAAAATGCTTTCTTCCTTAATCACTGATTTCACCACATAGTGACCATGTCAGCTTCCTTTTTTCAATACCAACGGCATGCTAAGATGTACAGGTATCAAGAGGTATGTTGGCCTCCAGTGTGTTCTACATGTGCTGCTGATGTCAAATGATGTTTGGTCCACAGATAAACATTTTAAAAAATCATTATGTATTTTAATTTATATTGGGAAAAAATATAAAAGCATTGGTTGGAAAACAGGATTATAATTAGTTCAGTGCTTGGAATACTATGTCTAAAAAAGGAGTCCATTTTTTAAAAATATTCAATGAAAGGGGTAGTATAGGTCAAAGCAGAAGGAAACAGCTCGAGGAATCCTGATATCAAGAACATGCGTTTTCAGATGAGAAAGATTTGAGCATTAGACTGAGATGAAACATTGAGGATTCCAGAGAGAGAAGCAAGCTCCTCTCCCAAGAGTGCCTGGAGAGACTAGTCTTAGACAGGGATACTCTCTCCATTAAACCTGGCTGAGTACTGAGGGTTAGTACGAATGTGGGGGCCGGAAGTTGAGGGTTTCATGGCTTATGGCCTACAAGTACCTACTGCTGTTTTTTAATTGTCATCATTATAGTTGTAGTAACTGTTACAGCCACTCCTGACTTAGCAAGTCAGTTAGACTAACTTGAGGTCAATATATAGTAATGATGCAAATGGACAACTGAGCCGGATAGCTTGAGCCTCAAAGCACAATGAGCTTTTGCACATACTTGGCATAATAATGGGTTTTACTGATTAAGGACAAAAGAGAGCATGACTTACTAATATCAAGAATGTAAGAGGGGGATACGATTACCGATCCTGCTGACAGTGAGGACAGTTATGTAACATATACAGACAACAAGGAATATTATAAACAACTTTGTGCTATTAATAATGAGGCTAGGTGGCGAGGAGCCAGGAGAACAGCACCTTGCCTCTTCTAGGCACCTTGGGTTTGGCATGTGGAGGAATTCACAGGCTTCGCCAGAGAGAGTTGTAGAAAAAAGCAGTATTTTCGGGAAAGAACTACATTCAGTTAAAGCCCAGAGGTGGAGCATATTCTTAGTATCCCAGAAATGGAGAATATTCTGAGCAGAAAAGTGAAAGAGTTAGTAAACTGGAATAAGGCTTCTACAGTGCACAGTTGGAAAGGGTCAGGAGATTGGTCACTGTGGCCATCCGTGAGGATTTAATGAGGGTGAGAGGCTACCAGGCCACAGGAGGGTGAAGTGTGCCCTGGTTTCATTGTTAACTGAAAACAGTTCAAAGGACCAGAGTTGCTGAACTGGAGTGAAGTTCCTCCTGCTTATCAAAGCAGACGGCAGTGCAGGAACCGAACACCGAAAGCTACCTTAGACTTCTGGAAGCCAGAAGGAGACAATGGCTTTGTGACTAGATGTGCAGTATTCCTGGCATGTCTGTCTGAAAGAAACCTTGAAATCACCAATTTAAGGCTTCATTTAGAACTGAGGAACCTAGAAGTTTAGGTAAAGGTAAGCCTCAATAGGAAGAGAAAACAAAAGGGAAAGGTAAAAGTTTCATTCCAAATGACCATGCAAGAACAAGTGAGTATGAACAAGAACCAACTGGAAATCTCATAAATGGAAAATTTTGTCTTTGGGAAAAAATATATAATAGATGGGATAAACCCTAAAATATACCCATTGTATTTAGAAAAATAGTGAAATGAAGGTCGTACTAAGAAATTTCCTCTGAATATAGTTCAAAGAAATTAAAAGAAAATATGAAAATACAGTAGATTCAACATTCTAACCAGTTCTTCCCCTGCAAGAAATTAAATGTACTGACTAAAATATTTAAGTTGTCTTTTAAAAGCAAGACTAAGCTAGAAAGAAAGTAAAGAATTCATAGAAATCAAAACTGAAATGAAAGAATCCTAAGCAGTAAACGGGGATTCACCCTGAAGGTAGCTGCCAGACCTGAGTGATGCTGAGCATGCCGGTTGATAGCCACATGCTGCATGCATTTGGGTCTGCCTAAGGTGGGGGACTCAAATGATATCCCTGGCCCAAAGCTAGAATTTTCAAAGCTACAACACTAGCGTGAAGGTGACAAGAAATCTGCCCCATGAAAGAGGACAAGCCCGGGTGCTGGCAGTAGGAAAAAAGTTTCTCCCTGAGAATTTATGGTACCTATGGGATTGAAAAACTTAAATGGCCAGTGGTAGACATAGGGAAAGATGTTGGCTGTCAGAGAAATACAAAGTAAACCTATGCAAGATAGCATTCCATCCCTATCTGACTACCAAAAACAAAATTAAGCTCCATAATGCAAACTGATATCAGTGAGAATGTGGAGAAACCATACCTCTCATACACTGCTGACTGGAATATAAATTGATATAACTACTTTGAAAAGTAATCTGATAGGCTGGGCGTGGTGGCTCTCGCCTGTAATCGTAGCACTCAGGAAGGCTGAAGTGGGAAGACTGCTTGAGATCAGGAGTTCGAGACCAGTCTCAGCAAGAGCGAGACCCTATCTCTACTAAAAAATAGAAATTAGCCAGGCAACTAAAATAGAAAAAATTAGCCAGGCATGATGGCACATGCCTCTAGTCCCAGCTACTGGGGAGGCTAAAGCAAGAGAATCGTTTGAGCCCAGGAGTTTGAGGTTGCTGTGAGCTAGGCTCACGCCATAGCATTCTAGCCTGGGCAACAGAATGAGACTCAGTCTCAAAAAAAAAAAAGTAATTTGAAAATCATTATCAAGCAAAATGGAAGGTATATGTACCTTTCAACCTAGCAGTTCCACTTCTAGGTCTCTATTCTAAAGAAGTCTGGCTTATGTGCACGATTGTTTATACAAGAACACTTATTTTGCAGAATGCTTATAATTGCATAAAATTGGAAACAACCCAAGGGTTCATCATAATGAGAATATGTAAATACAGTGTGTTTATAGTTGTGCAATGAAATACTACTGAACATTGAAAATAGATGAACTAGATCTATAGGTATTGATATTAATAAATCCCCAAATCATATTGCAATAAAAGCAATCAACAAAAACTGTGTACAGCACACCATCCACATAAAATGTGTGGACATACAAAGCAATTCTATATTGTATACCATTTATGGATCTATAATTATGTAGTTAGTAATGTTATAAAATATTCATGTGAATAATAAACACCAAATTCAGGGTAATGATTTCTTCTAAAGAGAGAGGAATAGGATCTAGGAGAGAGAAACCAGGGAATTTCATTGTATTTTTAAATAAAATTATGTTTTATTTCTCAAAACATCTAAAGCAAATATAATGAAACATTAGGATTTGCTATAGCTGGATCAGGTTTGCAGTAGTTCATTGAATTACTGTCTATACTTCTTCCGTACATTTGCAGTATCTTACAATATTGAAAAATTGTGAGTGAGAGAAAAATCTGTTATTTAAATGGAAGCCATAAAAACAAGACTGTCTCAGGTCGGGTTCTCACTGAGATGGGGTTTTGCATGCAGAATATTTACCATGGATCAGCACCTGTGGAAGAGAGCAAACAGGAAAGCAGGATTGGGCAGGGGAGAATTCCAAACAGGCCTGCAAAGCTGTGGCCAAGGCCACAGGGAGCTCTGCAGCAGGCCTGGTCTTTATATTCCTATCTCAATCACTGGCTGGCTGCAAGCTGCCCAAATGGTATGCCCATGGGCACGAGGGCTCTCTGGCACCCCTGCAGGTGCTCAGGGCCACAAGCCACCTGCTGGCAGCTGGGGCAGTGAGCCCTTCCGTGGGCATTGCATCTCTGTCCACTGTGTTGGCCCATTTGAAAGTGAAGCTTTGTTTTCTTCTGTTCTTTGATTCTCTCACAAAGACTATTAATATATTTACCTGAGAGAAGGTAAATATAAAAAAAAGCTTTGTAATGCATGTGAACAGTTTCCATTTTTATGGCATGTTAGTAGCCATGACTATCTAGTTTTTTGACCAGACTCTAAAAGGAAATTGTCATATACTAAATCACAGGCAAGAGCCTTTTATGTTAATTTTCTCACTCTTCTTAAAAGAGAACAAATATAAAATCCGCCTATAATTTAGATACCCAGTTTTCAATAATAATTTAAGAATGAGCCTTCACATTCTTTATTAGAAGGATAAAATATAAAAATTTAAATTTGTATATGATATCTCTGCATAATCATCTTAATGAGCATTATTTTTGAAATCTTTAGATGTGTTTTTATATGACTGCATAATACTGTCTTCCTCAGTCTAAGAAGCCAGTAGAGACAGAATTGTCAAATATTTATACCCTTCTCACCCATCTTGGTGCCAGTCATACTTAGGCGTTCAACTAATATTCTCTAGGAGTAATAGTAATGATTTTACAGGCAAAGTATACATATATTTTACTTGTAAATATTGACAGGAATTAGGTAACATTTCCAAATTCCATGCTTTATAGCTTCTTGATACTCTGCTTTTGATGTTTTAATTAAATCCTACTCGTAAGAAGTGTGGGCACATAATCGGTAGAATGGTTCTGATAAAAGTGATCACTGACGTTTAATATTATGGCTTCTATGACTAGTAGAGATATAATGTGGACTTTACTCAGTCCATAATAATGTTAAAGGAAGTACCCAATTTTTAAATAAAAATATAGCTACATCATGGGTACATAGGCTTTTCTAGCAACTTGGGCTTTCTTAGGAACTCAACAAGTGTAAATGGTTTCTATAATATGTCAATCAAGGTTTCCAGTTGCAAGAAACAGATTAACATGGCTGATTAAGCAGAAAATGAGTTTATTAAGTGGTTATTAGTGAATTCGCACATTTTGTTACAAGGACTGGAGAACAAAGCTTGAGACTAAGCTTTCAGAAACAGTGTCCAAACCCATGCTGCAAAAACTGTTAAGATAAAGAAATAGCCACCAAGCAGAGACACAACAGTGTGTATGGAGGTCATTTCCGTTTCAGGAACTTGACCTTGAGTCCTAATGCAGGAAGTGCAGCTAGAAGGAAGAAAAGAAAGAAAAAAATGAGCTGCTTGTTTTCTGCAGTTAAAGTCTCAGTGTCAGCACCTGAGTCCCAGTCTCACGTGGGTGCATCTTGGCAAAGTCTGAGTCACCTGTCTCAGCTCCTAGGGAAGGAATTATGGGAAATTAAATTCCAGCTTCTGTCTTCAAGTAGGAACTTTCCCAGCCATTTTCTGGAAAGTTTGTTGAAAAGATCACATGGACAGTCACAAACATGATGAAAATTTATTATTATACGATGGAATTATTTTCTAGGAATGGAATTTCTTTCTGTGTTCCTGTTTGAAACATATCTTAATCCTACTCTGGTATGGTAACTTTTGGCCATCCCAAAATGAGAAAAACACTGCTTGTCCGCAATCCCTAATAGCCACTGAACTCAGAGGACAAAAGTAATATGATGGCTCAGGGAATATTTTGGGATTCACAAATGGTCCTTTCTTGGTCCACTTGATACAGGCAGCCAATCTTTTGGGAAAAGATGTATATAATAAACAATTGAGTAAAATAAATGAAAGAATGGAAGTCTATCACAAAAACTATGATGCTGTTTAAGAACAAAGAAAGAGTAACTGTGAGGTAAGCCTAATAGGATTTTAAAATAGATTATCTTAACCTGGTATTGAATGTTGTACAGTTTATATCTGGTGTTTTGTTGCTGAATGTTTATTAAGAGCCTAGGAATTGTTAGGCAGAAGCAGGCATTGTCTCACTCACATATTATAATCATATTGTACAGCATTATCGAGCCAAGTATTATTCTAGGCCCTGTCCAATATGCCCACACCAGTCGGGTTCATTAGAAAAGGATTTTCAGTATCAGAGAGTGATAAGGAGTTCAGGGACTGTTTCTTAAAAATCATTCTAAGATTAGCTTGTGGAACTTGCAAAGCCAGTGCTGTCAAGTAAGTGTACATTTGCCTGATTCCATAGGGAATTAATATACTTTTCAGTTGAATTTTCATAGCAAACAAATATTTACATGTAGTCATAATATTTTAAGTAGTTTTATTTCAGATTAGTTTCAAGATTTAGTGTTCAAATGTCTAGTATTTTGAACTAGCAGTCATTGTCAAATTAAACTACTTACAGTTCAGCATTTGCTTTGAGTAAGGAGATAATATGGCACAGGGGAGCTCAAGGTGTTCTTGGAGATGTTATACTTGATTTTTAGATGTTTTATAGCATGACATGAATTCTATTTATTGAAATCCCATCAAGCTAACAATGAGAGAAATACAAATAATGCATCTTCTCTTATAATAGAACTTATTTGCCTTCATGTGGCACCATAGACATAGATTGAAGAATATAATTTCTTCAGGCGGTCTTTCCAGATTTTTTATCTACTTCTAAATTCCATGTTATAGCTTAGTCTTTTTCATTTTTTTTTTTTGTTTCCCCTCTTTTCCTTCACACATACTGCATTTGGACAATAGTAAAATTTTGTTAGTTACGTCATAGATAAATACAGCAAGACTACTTCTGTGGGATTGGAGTCATTTTTTTTTCTTTAAAAGATTTTATATCAAACATGGTAAAGTTATTCTCATCATGGGGGTTTACATTTGTTTTTAATGCTGTGCTGACATATCGTATGAGAGAAAATTTAGCCATTGAGGATGAAGAGCTTATATTTGTTGTTGTGCCTCTGATGTAGATACATCAAGTAAGGTCTCTGCAAGCCTTAAATTTAATAAGGCTCTGCAGCAGAAGTACTGTTTAAAAGACCTCAGTTAGAACCACAATCGAAAAGACCCAAAAGATCTACTTGTTTTCAATTCCAAACAAAGGCTGATATTCTAGTGCCTTTAGCTTTGAAAAACCTATGTACCAGTAGGTTATGTATCCCATCCAAAATCTGAATTTCACAAAGCCACCGTACAGCTTTATGTTATGGGTATGTTCCTTTGTTTCCTGTAACATACATTAATCCACATATCTGCCTGAGCAGCAAACCTCAGCGCCTTATATACCTTTTGTTTCCTTGAATCACAGGAGCTTCAGTTTCAACGACTCACCCGAGAACTGGAAGTGGAAAGGCAGATTGTTGCCAGTCAGCTAGAAAGATGTAGGCTTGGAGCAGAATCACCAAGCATCGCCAGCACCAGGTACAGGGCCAGAGGCTCTATCTTTACTCACCCTCAACTTGTATGCCTTATTAGGTTGTCCTGGATGTAGCAGATGATTCTGTTAGTGTTGTTACTGTTAACGCTCTTTCCTGAATTTGACACCAAAAATGTCAGTTTATTCTAATTTTGAGAAGCCTCTTGCAATATTGATTGTCCTTCATTCCTGTGCTTAAAAGTGTTTTATATAGCACTGGCAAACTTCTATAGCAAAAGCTACTATACTACCTTAAGAAATTCGATTTTTTGTTTGTAGGCACAGTTGATGGATATTGTCATGATTAATTGCTAATTATTTAGTAAAGCTAATTGGCTGGTGCTTTGAAGACCTGGCACTGATTTTTTTTTTAAAAAAACTAAGAAATATTTCCAAATGAAAAAATTTAGTTAGCTTTTAAAAATGCCTTCAGTGTACGCTGAGTTTTTCAGAACTCTATGATAAACTACCACATGAACTAATTACTATATGAAATAATTTAGTGTATTCAAATATAGTAATTACCAAATGACTACATTACAAAAAAAATCACAAGTCTTATTTTTTATTTAAATAGCCTCTTATGCTACTTAAAAACATAAAAATTACTACCACACATTCCAAATGGTTAAATGACTGCATATCCTATCTATAGATTTCTTTCTTAGTAATTACACATTCCTATAAAGGCTACCATAAAATACTTTTATTGCTTGTGTTTGTAAATGTGGTTTGTTTATGCTTAGGTAGGTATGCCTTCAATAACTTGTCTCTCAGTTATTTCTAACCTCGTAAGTGTTCTACCTTTCAGCATCTTCTGTTACTCATAGGCAAAAATTCCTTAGTGAATAGAATGCTGTCTGTAGTTTCTCTTTTCTAACTGATTGTTGGTATGAATTTTAAACTATTAGGCTGTTAAGTGGTATTCACATGAATTTTTCATCTCTGACTCTCTACAGTTGTATATATTGTGATATATTTGGCAAGGCATAAAGCATACAAGTAAGTTCAATAAAACCTTTATAAAACAAATATAAATTTATGTGATCATTTTTAAATATCCAAGCAGGTTTTTATAAGAAGAGAAATCATAAGCAAGCTATAAAATTATAAGTTAGAAATTTCTAAGTGTGGCTTTACAGCAGCTAATGAAATAGTTTATCAAAGAACTTAAAATTGTAAAAACAAAAATTAGCTTTAATTGTATGTGATATTTTTAAAAAGTTATATGTATCTTTAGCAGCAAAAAGAGCATTTCACAAACTCAATAATGTGGTATAATGTTTTTCAAAAAAGTTTGGACCAATTGGTTTAGAAAAACAGAATTTTATATTAATAGAAAAATTAATTCAATATTTAAAGAATGCAGTTAAGATTTCTAATTCTGGCAATATAGCTAACTAAATTAACATAGAAATTCTCTTGACAAACTCCTAAAAATACTTGATACATCAATAATAAAAGCCAATACCTGGAGGAAATGGCAAAAGAGAAGAGAAAATTTCCAGATACTAAAAATAGAAAAGGAACTGAAAGCCAGAGCCAGAAGCATTTGAGCTGCCTCTGTGGGAGGCCTGAGGACAGTTGTCAAACTTCAAATGATTTGAGTTTAATACCCATGCAGGAACCAAAGAATGAGGTCTTGAGTGTGCTCAAGATGGTATCTTTGAAGTTAAAATCACTACATTAAGCCATTTCCTTAAAGAACTCCACCCTTGGTAAACTCCAAGCTTATACCATAGGTGGGTTTGGAGCCCAAATGTAACTATCCACATAGCTCAGGAATCTCCAGCTGAGAAACTAATACCACTAAAACTGAGCTCACAATTAGTTATTATAAAACAGAAATTTAAAAAAACCAAACAAACAAACAAAAAAGAAAACACCACAAGAGTTGACATTAGTAAGATGGCAGAATGGTATTTCCCAGTGCTCATCCTCTCACCAAAACATCGATTTGAGCAACCATCTACACATCAGAATACCTTCACTAGAGCTAAGAAATCCAGATGAGAGATTATAGCATCCAAATGTTGCATATAAATAAAAAAGGGTGCATTTATGAGGGTAGGAAAGACAGTTTCACATTGTGCTTTTTTCATCAAGTATTTTTGGATTAATTCTGATTTTATTTTAAAAAGCATTAAAATACTTACCGTAAAAAATACTTGTCAATGAGTGGGAATCAGTAAGCAGAAGAGTAGGATTTCGAAGTCCAAGAACTAGATACCATTGGAGAAAGTTTGACAGGTGTACACAGTCAAATACCAAGGATGCTCATTGCAGCATTATTTGTAAAAGTAAAAAATATATAAAAAGCATATTATCCATCAGGATGGAAATGGAAAATAAACTGTAAGAAGTAAGCTCTAGAGCAATTAAAATAATTAATTCTGCATGTACCAACATGGACATGTTTGCAAAACATACTTTTGATGGGAAACTACAAGTTGCAGAAGAATACATATAGAAAGATACCATCTATGAACAATTTTTTTTTGAGACAGCATCTCGCTCTGTCACCCAGGCTGGAGTGCAGTGGTGTCATCATAGTTCACTGCAACCTCAAACTCCTGGGCTCAAGCAATCTTCCTGTCTCAGCCTCCCAAGTAGTTGGGTCTACAGGTGCGTGCCGCCACACCCTGCTTATTTTTTCTGTTTTGGGTAGACACAGAGTCTCACTCTTGCTCAGGCTGATCTCGAACTCCTGAGCTCAAGCTATCCTCCCATCTTGGCCTCCCAGGGAGCTAGGATTATAGATGTGAGCCATCACACCTGACTTGGCATTTGGTTTTGAAGAACTCCATAAGGTCTGTAAAGGAAACCTACTGAAAGTTGTTATTGGAGGCAGTTCTCCTCCTGTCCTAAGAGTGAGTGTGTAAAACAGAATGCAGAGAGGCCAGGCAGCTGGGCAGAATCTATTATGGATTCTTAAGGGTTGTGGGTAAGGTAGGTTTCTTCATTCAGTGAACTCTGGTTGGAATGGTAATCGATCCACGTGGATTGCCCTCCTTCCATCTCACGTTGGATTCCCATGTACTCTTGATGCCCTAACTAAATGCTAACCGTTTTTTATAGCGTTTCCCAAGTTTCTCGGGGAAAGTACTCTGTCTTCATCTGAACTCTCATAACTATCTCTCCGAGCCTGTGCCAGCTCTCCTAGGAGGTGGTGAGGCCAAGCGCATTCCCACAGCCCTGGCCTAGTGCTGAGCATACAGAGAAGGCACCCAGCCAAATGGTCGTTGAACAGACAGCGAACCTTGGTGGGGTCCAGGATATTTTGAGCTCATCAGGTAAAGATGCTTTGCCATTAGGTTATCCACTTGGCATCTTTGGGTTTGTATCTACCCTTTCTCATGTCTGCCCTCTTCACACCTTCCAGGGTGCTTTTCCTCGGACCTTGAGAAGACTGTTGACACACTTACTCTGCTGTGACCTCCAGGCTTGCACACTGGCAAGGAGCCTAACGGAATAGAGTGTGTTAGTAAACGGAGCCAAGATTTTTTATTGTGTCACTTGAGAGATCTCCTTTGCGTCTTCCAGTCCCCACCAGCTGTCAGTCTTGGAACTAGAACCTAAGGATACAGAACAGAAATTAGCTTTCAGACCCAGACCTTTCTCCCATCAGCCATTGCTCACTTGTGCAAAGAAAATTAAAAGTGGAATTACTCCTTGACATGGAGCTTTTTGATTCATATCTTATGTGAAGTAGAGTCAGGTCAGCAAAATGGGAGATTTGATAACGAGTTATCCTTCATATCATTTTATTTGGATCCTGTGTCAGAGTTAGTAAGGTTGACTGTAGGATTGTCTTTCTTTTTTTAGTTCAAATGACATTAATGAAAGGAAAATAAAAATGTTTGTTTTTATTTATATTGTCCAAAGTTTTTGCCATTATCGGCCTCACCCCAGGAGTAAGAAGGAGGCGGTGGCATGAGGTCCTCTTTAGTAAATGACTCCTATATTGTGAAAAATAATATACTGTGAATCCTCTTTCACCAAACAAATGGCTCTAATAGTGAGCAATTTGGTTTCATCATACTTGTAGTGACAAAGATGCGTTTTTAACCTGTGCCAGGAGATGTTCCCATTTCATAAATAGAAAAACCAGACCTCCGTATATTTTTGCATCTACCAGGCAGTGTCCCAAAAAGTGAACTGCACGATTATCATAGACAGTTTACTTGCAGTATGCCTTGTTGAGAACTTAAAAAATCTTAAAATGAAATTAGTTTTTCTATTAATGACTCTTTGGAAATGGTAGTCTTCCAAATAAAGTAGTAAAAAACTCATTTCTGATACCATTTTCCATTTCTTTTATTCACTATAAAAATATTAATAAGATTGGCAATATAAATATATTGTAATGATCCTTAATCTGGAATTGATAGTGTCTGTATCCAGGTGACATATCAGACCAAATCACTGCAGCTTTGAAAAGCCTGAAGGTGGGCTATGGTATCTCTTATTAGGGAAGATACAGCCTTTCTGCATTTATACCAAGTACGCTGTAGTTATCTTTGCATATAGTATTATCTATGTATTTAATGTTTCACTTCCTTGAAGCTTGGTTATGGAATGAGTTTAAAAAGAAGTTAAACTTGTCTGCATTATACTAAGAACGGTATAGTTATATTTCATCTCATTGAAAGGGGGCTATGGGATCAGTTAATAGAGAAGATACAGCTTTTCTTCACTTGTTCTGTGTATACTATGGTTACCTATTGTTTAATATTTCGTCTGGCTGAAGGTGAGCTATGGAATCAGTTAATTGGGAAGTTACAGCCTTTCTGTATTTATATTGAGTATATTATAGTTATCTATGTACTTAATATTTTACTTGATCCAAAGGTATTTGAAACATCTTTTCAAATGTAAAAACTAAAAATAGAGTAAAGAAATTAGGGCAAAGGGAATGTAAAGTTGAGAAAAATAAGGTAAAGCCAAGGTTAAAATAGTCATAACATTCCATGTACTTGCTAAAGTAGAGAGCCACTTTTGCTCC